CTGGGGATTCTAGCAGGGATGTAGTTATGGTGGGCGGGGACACCCATCCTTGAAGTTTTCCACCCAGTCTGAAACTAATTTCATGGCCCTCCAACCAACGTTATTAACCCACTTTTCCATCCGTTTACTAATGTTATCACCCACCCATCCTTAAAATGTCTTATCTCAACCACCCTTAATTTTCTACAGCTACAACATAGGTATGTAATATCGAGAAAGAAGTTATACCCATCATGAATAAAACCCAGCACTTACATCTTTTGATAGGAGTTTGTTCTGCATCTGAAACAGCACCTTTATCGGCTATATTAATGATGTCTGCTTCGGGTCTTAAAGTAGTAGGCATACTAGCATCATCATTGTAGCTTTCATCTTTAAAAAATTTGAAAATAAAATGGGACAATGAGTACACAACGTAAGTAGAATTATCCCACCTACCTTTTTAGCTGCACTATTACTATCAAATTTCCTGTACAGTAATAATAAAATTTGTATTTTTCTGTATTCATTTGTTTTTGTTTTTTTTTAATTGGACAGTAAATTCATCATGTGAACAGTGTAAATTCAAGATTTAATTCAATCATGAAATCCTATTAAGTTCTCTATTTTTAAATAACTTTAAAATAACACTTTCCAGCCTCCGTTTACTAGGCGTTGATGTATCGGACAGAGCACCTGAGAAAAAGGCAAATAGTGGTGTAGAGTACATAATAATTTGTTGTAATTGAATTTTTATAATGTCATTAAACATCAGGGATTTTAGCGATATTATACAGAAATAAAGACTGATCAAAAATGAATTACAGTAAACCTAATAACTAACAACACTGTATCTCATTTTAATTTATTTTTTGGAATGAAATGTTTTATTAAAAAATAACTAAATAAATGGTGAATTTAAATGTCAGATGGATTACCACAACTTTGTATTTTAAACTTTTTTATTTGGATGTTTACTGCCTTTATGTTGTTTCCCCTGATCCTTTTATTATTGAATTTATATGTTGTTATATTGTTATTGTAGGCCTGTTATTACTTTTATTATTATTATTATTATTATTACTATTAATGTTTTTCGAATCTTTATTTCTATGACATAAACTGCTGTAGCCTCATTTTGTGTGTATTTTTAAGATTTATTTATTTATTTGGTTTATTGCCGTTTCGACTTATTGCCGTTTTGGTCCATGCCATTCTGCTGAAAATGTTTTACAGTTTTGGTTTCTTTGCCGTTTAGGTCATTGCCCTTTGGACTTATTGCCGTTTTGGTTTATTGCGTTTATTTATTATTAGGGTTAGAGTGCCATTTGGAGTTCCATTTATACAGTAATGAAGGTTATTCCTTACCATCGAAACATATTGCACACCTCACGTCTACACCATAACCTTCTTCTATAACACTTGGACCTTCACCTAAGCATGGTGGTATAATATGGACAGGCCTTCTGTATTCAAAACGCTTGTGTGAACCACATTCCTTCGTGCACACCACACATATGGGTCCTAATTAATAAAGAAAAGGATTTTATTGAAGTTATTATTACATATTCACAAATTCATTATAATGATTTGATCAATCTGACTTCAGCTTCATATTATTTCTTCTAAAAGTATAAATAAATGATGAATTTTGAAAATTACTGTAGGAGGACAAGGGCAGGTAATCAAGATATTATGCTAGCCTTACTTAGCCTAATTATAATTCTAAACAATTTATTGTATAATAAATTCTGTTAAGAGGTATATAGTAACAAAAACAAATGACATATGCGGCCCTAGGCACCCTACCTAGGCCTAGGCCTTGTTTGTACAAGCATGGTACTAGCTAGGGGGCATGGGCTAAGCCTTACGGGCAGCCTACCTGATATTTCAGCCAAGGACTGTTGTTGAATAATTGCAAAAGCATCAGCAGTTGTGCTCTCAGTCTCACTGCTATAAAAGTTATCAAGGCTGGACGTTTCCGGCTGTCTAGGCCTAGGCCTAGAAGGAGGTAATGAGGATTCACCGAGAGTGCCTTCTATGGGATCCACCATTGGGCGTCCACTCAAGTTCTTGTGAACCCTCCAATAAAATTTCCAGGTCGGAGTCTACTCTCCAGATTTTGTGGCCTCATCTTCTCGTATACACTCTTTATACATCGATCTAAGGTTTTTTAATTTGTTACAAACGTGCTGAGCCGTCGTGTCATATCCCAGACCGTTTAAAAGTTTAGCTATAAGCTCAAAAACTCGATTTTTTTTTCTCCTTTTTTTGTCTTTGGCAAGATCTAAAAATTCTGGTTCAGACCAAATGTCAATTAGGTCGGACAACTCAGAGTCCGACCAAACATGTCTATTATTGGCCATTATAACAGATAACTGTTAAAATATCACCGTACTGATCAGTGAAAAACAAAAGGCCTGTGCGGGAAAACTAAAACAAAGTAGACAGCATGCGATGATCGAAATAAAAGTAAACAAACGTGTGCGAAAAGAATTATGGGAAAATATAACCCCTGACCTCATTGGAATTGCGTACGTCTGATTGGTTAATGATGGAAATGAGGTCAAATTGCTAACGGTTAGCGCTAACCGATTGGGCGTTCTCACGCAGGTGCTAACGGTTAGCTCCCGATCCGGATACTACGGCTCTCGTGAGAACCAGGCCTTTGAAATGGGATTGCGTTCCAAAGAATCCCCGGCAGTGGGACCTCTTGCAGTTTTATACTCTTTGATCGGAGTTACCTAACTTCTATACGATCTTTGGTTCAGTATTCCTACAGTATAGAGGCCTATTTTGAGTAGAGTAGGCTAGCCTCCATAGCCTATGGGTGCAGGTCAACTCGGCCACAAGTCAACTCGGCCACTGTCAACTCGTCCACAAGTCAACTCGGCCACAAGTTAACTCGGTCACAAGTCAACTCGGCCACAAAAAGTTTGGCTACAGTCAACTCGGCCACAAAAAGTTTGGCTACAGTCAACTCGGCCACAAGTCAACTCGGTCACAAGTCATTTACTGGTACAGTACTACATTGTACTAATTGTTATTATTATTGCTGTTATTATTGTTGCCATTGTTGTTATTATTGTTTTTATTATTATTATTGTTGTTTTTATTACTGTTAGTTTTAATATTAATTATTAGTCTTAGCATTAACATTATATATTGTTCAAATTTTTGCTGATATTATTATTATTACATATACAGTATATATAGTAAATATATTTATAGTACCATATAAATAATAAATAATTTTCGATTTTTTATTATTATTATTCATATTATTATTATTATTTATTAGTCTTAGTATTATAATTTTAATATTAGTAATTTAAAAAGTTGTTATTGGCGTTTTATTAGTATTTTTCTCATATTATTATTATTATTAATATTAATGTTGTTGTTATTATTGATATTATTACCCTATTATTACTAAGTAGGCCTAGTATTATAAGTATCATTATTATTATTACTAGTTAGTATTACTATTATTATAAAAATAAACATTATCTTTAATTTATTATTGTTATTATCACATTCAATATCGTTATTATCACTAATTAGTTATTAAAATTGATATTTAAATATCGTTATTATTACCATACTAGTATTATTACTATTTGTTAAAATAAATATTACTATTAATGTTGTTGTTGTTATTATCAGATTTATTATCGTCATAATGACTAATTAGTATATTATTAATGTAAATATTACTAATTTATTGTCGTTATTGTTGTTTAATATTATTGTTGAAGTAGAATGTTGTGAGTAAACAGAAGACGAACACATTAATAAATAACTCTTTTTAATTCATAGGCAAGAGCATTCAAATCTCTTTTGGTAGTGTGGTGGTCCTGTTTTACTAAAGGAAGTGGATATATTTATGTTGCCGTGAACAAATTAGTAAACGTTATATTTACATGCGCATGCGCAAAAACTTTTTCATCTGATGACGTAAGGAGCAGCGCACACTACATTCCTTCTTCTCTTCCTTTTCAGTGAAGCGATCCACCAGAAGTACTTAGATAATTAGTAAGGAAAATTTTTTCTAAACATTATTAATATTAATCCTATGAATAGGCCTATATAAGCCTGTACATTACCCAACAGGGAGTTACAAATTCCTGGTGTTACTAACTCACCAGGCTAGGCTTTCATTAAACGGGCAGTAACAAATTCCTGTGTAAGTAGGATAGGGTCATCTCATAGGCCTGTACAAAAAAGGTAGGGCCAGACCTAGGTTATCACAATGGAATTCGGCTTGAGTCGGGAGGCTGTTTCCATCCTAGGCCTAGACTACTACAACGTCACTGGCAGCGCACACCTACCCAGGCAGGACAGAACTAGGCCTAATTAGATAAGCGAAATTATTCGCGGGAATCGCGAATTTTTGCTCATAGCTTAGTCTTAACATCAATTTATTATTCTGTCTCTTATACACATCTAGATGTGTATAAGAGACAGGTTCTATGCCATTATCACAAAAATTCATTTTGGCTTGAGGACGAGTTTACAGCCTGTTTGTGAGCTTCGGTCACCAATGTTATTTAGATACTCTTTCCCAGTGGTGTGGTGATCATGATATGGCCTATAAACCTGTTAAAATGCCACACTCCTCAAATATCTTTTCTTTGAAACCGACCCGAGATACCTACCTTTAACCTTAATGGAACTGTCCTAGAGAATATTTCACACAAAGTTATTAGGAGTTACTATTCAGAATGATCTTAAGTGGAATTTGCACATTTCTGAAATCGTTTCACGGGCGTCAAAAAGGTTGTTTTCGCTTTTTCTTTTAAAGAAAGCAAATGCACCAACGTCTGATTTATTGCTTGTACTGTATATTCTAAGCTTTCAAACGCTCCACTCCACAAGCACTGACCACTGCTTTCGCACAACTCACCTAAATAGCTTTAATTAGCGTCCTCATAATATCTGCCGCAACTGTATGGGAAAAAAACATAAAGCGTCTGGCGATCATTTCGACTTGTAACTGGGTGTTTCTCCAAAAAGCACACAGGCATTACATAACTGGTCAAAGCTCCAAAGTGAAATGCATGTTGCAGTATACGAGGGCTGTCTCTTATACACATCTAGATGTGTATAAGAGACAGTCTAATATGTTACCAAATGGATTGTTTTAATAACGTGTTCGATGCAGCAAATTATGTTGCTCTGAGACATGATAAGGCTAATCTGAATAAAATGACCATCATTCTTTTGTTATGGTCCAATCGAATATATTATTTTACAAAGCATTTGATAGTGACTGCACTTGTTAACAAGCTAATTAATAATTGGGGTTAGAGCATCGATTATTCCCAACATCTGTAGTTACCTCTCCAACCGCACACAATACCAAATTGAATTGTTCAATTTCTCCACTTACTAACATCACTTGTGGTGTTCGTCAGGGGACGAAACTTGGTCCTGTGCTGTTTCTTAAAATAATAAATGATGCTGCGATTGGAGACTACAGACGTTGGAAATATGTTGATGATCTAACAATTGGAGATCATCAGGCTTCTTTATTACAATTTGACCCAAGCTCACAAACAGGCTGGAAACTCGCACAGCACTGTATTGAGA